ATTGTGTGTCGATTACTTTAGTATAGGCACCATGCATAAAGATCCCCATTGACGACTTGTGGCTGGATGGTGAGTCCACGTGGTAACGGGAATGCACAGAGTAGAATGGTTGTCTTAAGTCAATATATTTTTGTCTAAATATCAAGATATTTCCTCTTAGTCTGATTATTTTACTTAGAATCGCTAACTCCTTGACTATACGATGGTTTTTCTTAGCGTTGTATTTTGCTTTGATAAATTGTAAAAAATATATATATCCCTTTGTCGCATGTACATGTCAGCTACATTACGTGTGTTAGTACAACTTACATCGTAATGTAGGCTCTGTCCCTCTCATATACTTCACTGACGAAGGCAATATATCTCACACGTTCAAGGGATAAAGGGATGTACATCTTTTTTACAGTTCATTAAGACAAAACCTCATGCTGAAAAAAATATCATCGTACGGTTAAAGAGATTGAGATTCTAACTGAGACTATCAGACTATTAAGAAGCATCTTAATATAAATGAAAAAATTAATTGACTTTGGGCAATTATGCCCCTCCGTGTATTCTCGTAACCACGCAGACTCCCCATCCAGCCACAAATTGGCTTGTGCTCTAAGCGTGGAGCCTATTTGTACCTCTAGATTGTAATTGTACATTGAGAAATGCAAGGTCTTTTCTAGAAACCAATACAGTGGATAATTATAAGCACAGCTCTGCGTTGCCTTGCCTAAGGAGAGTATGAATCTCTCTTCCGGCTGAGGTTAGAAGTACAAGTAGTATTATTTCCCTTAAGAGGTAGGTTATGTAGTGTGTGGGACGATGGTAGACGTGGTCGTTATTTATAACCGTGGATGATAGCTTGTAATCTCGTATAACCACTTAATTTTGTTATTTGTTGTGTAAGGCTCTTGTCCATTGATTTTTTTAATAAAGTAATAAGAACCCTGAGAGTGGTGTACAACTTACTCGTATAGTTCTAAAATAATTTGTCAACTAACTACTACTAAAAAATTTAATAACTAATATTAAATTAAGTATGACCATTATCTTTTATTCTAGAGTACTCTAGAAATATTTAAAAAATTTTGTATCTTCTCGATCAAATTATGTTGACACTATATTTGTGTCACATTATTTTTTAAAGAGCTTTTTTATTTATTATTACGTACATCACTAAGTATCATATTTGCGATTTTAACTTATGACACACAGTCAAAAAAGTGAAAAAATAAGGTTACGTTTGAACTGACTATCACATAATTAATCATTTTTCTCCTTAAGTTTTAAATTATTTTGACAAATGTTTGCTTTGTTAGTTTTTTCAAATGTTAAAATTAAGTACTGCGTCTTTCTTCTCACAAAAGAGCTTTTGACTGCATAAGTTTGCGTAGCTAGTTAACCAATTCAAATAATCACATTGTTATAGTAGAAATCTTTTATTATAATTAAATTACTCATGATTAAATATTCATAATATAGACCTTAAACAACTATTTAATTTATTGCTTGTGAAAAATTTCGTTGTTAACAATTTTAACTTATAAACCCACCAGAACTCTCAAAGTGTAAAGATGCACAAATTATAGATTTAAGAGGTCCATGAGGCTATTTCAATTGTGGATCATCTCTAGGGTGCTGATAAAGGCCGAGATTGGTGCTCGTACTATTATACAAGTGCTCTTGCCTCAGTGTTGGGAAAAGAAGGTAATGTGTCAGCTGCCACTGTTGTAGGAGGGATCAAAGGTGTGGTAAAGGGGAAAATTGAGTGCATTAGTTATTTTTTTTCCCGCTCATGTGTAAGATAGTGATTCTGCGTGGAAGGAGGGTCTGTTTTCGTTTTAAAAGAACTACTCAAATGAAAATATAATGCCTTATATAATGTATTTTATGGAATCGTCAGAATTATATAGGATTCATAAAGCAAGTCAAAGAAAAGGTAACAGAATTAGTATTACTTACGTTGACAAACATAAAAAACTTGTAGTTCAAAAACGTAAAAGATGTATGACAAGACAATCACACAAGAATAATATAAAAATTCTAAAAAAAACAAGTATTAAAAAATAAATTCTAAGAAAAAAGAAATATTTTTAACAACGTTTTACTTATATTTAGGGCCTCCATACGTACCACAAGTAATAATTAAAAATTTATGATTGAAAAATTTTTTTAATAATAATGGCGAAAATAAGCCAATAAATAAACAAGAAAAAATTAAGATAATACACAGAAAAATAAATTTAATAATCAAGTGACGGTAAAAATGTATTCGAAATTCAACAATTGTAATATAAACAATAATGAACACAAACTTTTTTTTTCTTATGTCTATCACTTACTTAGAAATAGTGAATACTATCACAAAAAAAGACATTCTGCACGAGAGTCGTGCATAGAGCCCTTCTTTGTGTAACACTATATCAGAACACATGTTGAAACGTTAGTAAAAATGAGCACAGCTATATGAACTTACAAGTAAAAAAAAATTTTCTACTAAATGAATAAGACAATTTAGAATAAAGTTTTTATAATAACATTTTAGAGTTATAGAAGGATGTTTCATATTAAAATAGGGGGAAGACAGAATTGAGAAAAAATTTATAGGAAAAACGGATAAAGTTAATATTTTCTTTTCTAAACAACTAGATATCAATGTATGGCTAAAATGCAAACGTCTTTAATTTTTTGAACCCTAAGCCAATATCGCAGACCCAAAGCAGCAACTGACTGCTAAGGCCTTGCTGCCAGCTGCTGAGGAAGGCTTGTGTGCTAATTATTTGCAAATGGGCTGCGAAGCAAGCCACGGATCCTCTACCACCCGGTGAGTCTTTCTAGGTGGATTTGAAACCTGAATCAAAGAACACTCATACTGATCAAATAAATGAATTTACACTTTTTTATGTATATTTTTATGTATTACTTTCTTAGAAGATTGTAGTGAAATCTTGGTTAAAAACTATACAACAACAAAAAATTGTTAATACTTTATTACATAATTGGGAAATAATGTACCACTCGTGAGCTAGTCAAAAGTAAGTACACTAAATAAACAAATTAAAAGGCAACAATGGAGAGGTTAGACTAATACTCACAATTTTTTTTACAAAACTATCTTCGAACCTACACTATTGGCTAGATTATCTAATAAATTTATGCTAATGAGATGATTAAAATTATTAAGGAGTTATTAAAGATTAGTACCCTTTGAAGTTATAAATGCAAATGTATAAATGCATACAAACAGGTATACACCTGTATATAGGCGTCTGACACTGTTTTTTTCGTTTAATTGCGAAAATAATTCGTCGATCTCTCTAAAAATTGATTATAATAACAGTTTTATGGTATTGCGTCATAAAAAAAAATTGAAAAAATTCAACATACCGTCTTCTAATAAATTCCATTTGTATGTGACTCATCCATCAGGTTAAGTGTTAAATTCAAGCTCTTTCAACATTTAATATCTAAAAAACGGTGTTCTGAGACGGTCTTAAATTTTACATGTGACTTTCTAACAACAATACGATCATCCTGATAAAATTTCAGGAAGATTGTACCCAAAACCCTATGTGTGATGAACGTCCTTAACGTGCACTCTAAATTCTATTCTTTGTACAACCTTATATCTCAAGACTTTGGGTTGGTATCAATGTTTAAATTAACAATAATATAATTTTGTAATAGCAACGAATAAAATAAATAATAAATATTAGTTAAATTAACTTCTATTTCATATGCATTGTCTTCTTAGGTTATAAACATCAATTCACTTTTAGAGCTTATATCCACAATGAAACACCACTTGGTTATCTTGAGTAAGAATTTTTTATTTATTTACTCGTCAATATTTCGTCTAGTCATAGAGACCGTTTCAAGACTTTCACTTTTTTACGCAAAAATCTCACGCACTATAGACCAAGAGTTTTACTATCGAAAAAGCTCCCTCCTTTATTTATAACATGGTTTCTGTATAAAATAAAACTGTTGGGGTATATAGTGCATGAAATTTTTGCAAAAAAAAGTAAGAGTCTTGAAAAGGTCTTCATGACGAGATAAAATATTGACTAATACATAAACAAAAAATTTTTGCTCAAGAGAACCAAGTGGTGTTTTATAGTGTATGTAAACCCTAAATTATATTAAAGTTATTAAAAAACGAGCAAGTGGAAGTTCTGAAAGAGTTACACTTCCCAATCAATTACTTTTAGAAGATTTTGAAGTTTTAGGTATGAAAATTAAATCATGGAGTATTAAAAATAATTACAGTTTTTATCAATGACAATAAAATCATTGTTATTGTCTTACTATTTAACCAAATTTATTAAAAAAATAAATTTTCCGCCAAAAAACAAAGCACTACCTGATGTTACTTTTTCAAAAAATAAATCAAGCTGACATTTGACAAAATGATTGGGAGCTCAAGAAGAAAAATAAATAATAGGATGAGAGACGATTTAAACGAAACCTTTTTTTTTGTTTCATTAACTGTATATAATAATTAAACAACGCAATCGTCACATTAGGTAATTTATGTATTGTTCAATAAAATAACTATTTTTAAAAAAATATGTAATGCAGATGTAGTGTTAACATGATCTGATTGATAAATTATGTAACTTTTTTACAATTGTGAGAGATCTCTTGACTTTGAAAATTTGGTAATTCATATTTAAGCATAAATAGTTTTTCTTTTTAGTAGCAGCACATTAGCAAACGGCTTTGTAGGTTTTTATGAGATTTATAAACCTGTACAAATTTCATTTACGAGTAATTGAGTAAAAATATCATCAGATTTTTTTGTTAAGGTATTGACTTCTTATAATGTCTATTCTGTAAGTAATCAGCGTTTATTAATTTTTTGTTTCATTGAGTATATTATAAACAAGTTGAATATGTGGTCTTAAAACATTCAATTTCTTAAGCTACTTTTCAAATAATTATTATTACATACTTATCATTATCCATGGAATAAGAACTTTTTTTAATAATAATTCAAATTATTTTTCCAGTCGAAATAACGGTTATGCTATTTCAACACCAGCATCTCAACAATATAAAGGACATGGAATAGCAGTGCGAGGTCCAGCTTATGGTATACGCACGATCAGAGTGGATGGTAATGATGCGCTGGCCATGTATCAAGTAACAAAGGAAGCAAGACAGTATGTTGTGAGGGAGAAAAAACCTGTTCTTATTGAGGCAATCACTTATCGGTAAAATTTTTTTCCATATTATAGAAAATATACTTTTCTATACAAAAAGTGTATAATTTACAGAGTTATAGAACATAAAACGACGGACTTTTAATAAGGAAATCTTATTTTCATTATTATAAGCTCTGCCTTAACAATAACATAATAAACATTATAAAACTTTGTGTCAAAATTTTTGAAGAGAGTCGATTCATTATCTTCTTACATTTTTATTGTGTTAAGTTTCTAAAAGAGCCTCATTAGTTGAGAGAAAAAAGGAAGCTTTGAGTCTCATAATTCTCAGCAGAAATAATACTTAAAAACTGCCAGCAGCTGTTTTCTGGACTTCAAGCTACAAAAATTCCATCTCTTAAAAATGTTCCTTTGCTTATTTGATTTTTCTCAAGATGTTATTTATTTTTTTCTTTTTTAGCTTACGCAGTAAAATAATTTTAAAAGAATATTAATAAAGTAAATGTTTTTGATCTAAGTATATTTCTTATTATTATTAAGATAGAATGAATCAAAGTTCTTAGGTTATTCAAGATTATTAATAAATTTCTTCGTTTTTAAGGTTTTGTTGTACTAGAAAATTAAATATTTTTTTATGAATGTTTGTAAATAGTTTTTGTGAGCTTAATTAAAATTAATTCAGAATTTGCACATACAAAAATTCATTAGGATTTACTTCTAATGCTTGTATAAAGATTTTTAGAAGCTTAAGTAAAATTTATTCAGATCTTGCACATACATAAACTCATTGAGATTTGATTCTTATTACACTCAATACTGGTCTATTTTTTTGGATTAACATATTTGTTTCGTGATGGACTACCCATGAATATTGTTATACTCGACACATATTTTTAACCTTCTAAGTATAAACGTGTTTAATAATTTGAACAATTAAAATGTTATACTAAAATATTCTTCCATATCAGCCGACATATTTAGAATGTACAATATTTAAAAAATTTGCAACACTAACTTTTGAGTAATTTCATGAAAATCAAGTCCATTCTGTGTTTAAAACGTACAGATACGTTTAAATA